GGGGCCAAGGAGATGGCTCAGTGGAATAAGCGCTTCCCTGGCAAGCAGAAGGACCTGAGTTCAATCCCCGGTTCCACCAAATAAATAAATAAATAAATAAATATAAAAAATAAAATAAAATGGACTATAAGATTTCCTGTCTGAGCCACTAGTGAGGAAAAACACGTGGAATCGCCATTTACTAAGGTACTGTACAGAAGATGAGGGAGGAACAGATTTGGCTAACAGGTGTGTATATCAAGTTTAGTTTTGAATATTTAAATCTGTTGAGAGAGGGACATTGTAGCTTGATCAAGAAGACCTGGCTGGTGATATGAACTGTAAGTTTCTAAAGATAAGACTTTGTATAATAGTCTTAGAAAGGTCAAAGAACTCTCAGCCAGATGCTTGCTATAACAAAGAGAAAGTGCGAGTGAGGGAACTAAACAATAACGTGATCCTTTGCACCAGTAAATGCAAATACTGGAAGTTCACAAAAGTCCTTACAATAAATGTTGAGAGAAAAATAGAAATCTCATGAATAGTGGATGTTCAGAAGAACCAGTGCCAACTAAGTAGCCTAGAAATGTAAAATGTTTTCAATGAGTTACACACTGTAGATAAGATAACCTTTAGACTGGAGAGAATAAGAAAGATATTTAGGAAATTGGAAGACAGAATGAATTCACCTACAGAAATGTGAAATGGTAAAATATAATAAAGGCACATAAGCGATAAGTTGAAAGATGCCAGCATTCATGTAGAGGATTAAAGATACACAAGTTAAGACCATTTGAGGAGATAGTGGCTGAGAACATTCAGAATGAAGGAGCACATTTGGTCCCATCCAGTGAATGCAAAATAAGGTTACTTATGATGAACTAGAGCCTAGAAATGTAGTGACACCATGGAATATGAGGAATAAAGAGAGGGTGGGCCAAATAGCTCAGCAGATTAAAGCACCTGCAAGCAGGCACAAGGGCTGAGGATTGGATCCCTGAGCCTGCCGTGCCAGCCCCGCAGCTGAGGCACACTGAGATGGCAATTGAGGCTGGGCATGGTGGTGCGTACTTGTAATCCCAGCTCTTGGGAGGCTGTAAACAGGCAGATCACTACAAGTCTGATCTAGCAATGAGACCCTGAACACCCTGTAGACCCTTCCCTAAAATACCAAAAAAAAGGAATAAAGAGAAAAATATTTTGAAAGGTACAAAGAGTAAAAAGAGGTTATAACAAATGACAACTACAAATAAATAAATAAATAAATCAAACAGATGACAACTACATATGTCTTTAAAACAGCAACAGATACCAAAATAAAATGTTTAAATGGCAAAAAGTAAATTATTTTTATCTCAGAATTTTTTACCCAACCGGGCTGTTACTCAAGAATAAAAGACTATTCTATTTTCTCACATAAAAATCTAGAATTTGCTATGCACAGGCTGCTGTAGGAGAACTTTTAGAGAATATACTCATACTTGATCATGAAATTGGAAGACAGTAGACCTGAAGTCAATGCAAAAAAATACAGAAATGAGATGCATTGTAATTTTTCAATCTCATGAGAAATATATTCGTCATGAATGCAAAGATTCCAGAACTTTTTTCAGTTCTTTTAGTACCTTATAATGATCAACTGTGTTATCTATTATAAACATTTGTTTGTTTTTAATGTCTTTCACTTACTAAATTTTGTAGTGTCGCTAAAAAATGAAAAATGATATAAATTCAATTTCTGTCAGTCACATGACTAATTCCTTCACTATCATAAATTTGCATGTGAATGATGCATAACACTTGTTTATGACATAAGAAATCTTTTGCTGTCTAGAGCTTATTTATTTATATGAGTAATGAATAGTTTCCAATGAACATTTGTAAAAGACCTTTTATAATGTATAAGATTATTTCGAGGGTCACAAAGACTACTCACATGTTTAGTGATGTTACCAAAAGGCTCATATAGAGGCCAGGAGATGGCTCAATAGAATAAGTGCTTCCCTGGCAAGCGCAAGGGTCTGAGTGCAATCCCCAGTTCCACCAAGAAAAAAAAACTCATATAGTTCTATTTACAGTCAGATTTATTATAACAATCCAGCAAGGACTTGAAGCTTAGTAAGGGTGAGATACCTCCGGAATCTGGAGAAATCCATGCACAGGCTTCCTGTTCTCTCTCTCTCTCTCTCTCTCTCTCTCTCTCTCTCTCTCTCTCTCTCCTTGGCAGGTTACACAGAGCATACTTTTTCCAGGCAGCAAAATTGTTGTCACATAATTTGGAGTACTTCTTCTCAGGGCATCCTATTTAGAAACTCAGTAGCCAAAGATTTTATTGAGTTCATCATTTAGACAGCTTTTATCTAGTAACTGCCAAAATTCCAAGGACAGCAAGTATTCAGTGCCCCAGGTAGGAAAAAGTCTGTCATTTTAAGGAAGCTTCGTAACAGTATAGAGAACTGCTCAGCAGGCAAACTGTAACTAGTCAGGTTTTTCCCTTGTGTTTTCACAAGTCATCATTACAATTCATTATTTTGCAAAATGACAAGATAGGATTGGTTTATTCACAGAAAATTTGGAAGAACTGCATTAAATAATGTACCTCCTATGTTTCTTGCATGGTATTTCTTAGAACCTATAGGTCTACTTAGATATCTCTACAAAAACACAAAGCCAAGTTCCAAAATGCTAATCAAGGGTCAGCCCTGCAATAAAGGTGCAGCCTCAGGACTACTATTTAGTTCTCCTGCACAGAAACCTAACTGTACAGGCTTTCCCCCCATTACCTACCAAAGCATATAGTTTGATTAATTTTTCATTTTAGAGAGTGTCAAGTCCCTTGGAAAAATAAAAATCCCTCTTAAAAATACCCTACTGTGATATTTGTGAAAATTTCAAAAGACATATAAGGCTTTACTTCACTGAATGGTGGATTAATTTGTACTGAGTATCTAGTAGTACACCAGTATCAACAGTATGTATGGCAGTTATACTCGATAGTCATTATCTTTTGAAAGTATTGTGTCTTTATAGGTAAAGACAAAATATTGCAAAAGAAGCCCTGTAAAGCATAAATGCTTTGTATAGATTTTTAAGTAGATCTATAGATTCTAAGAAATACCATGCAAGAAACATAGGAGGTACATTATGTAATCCAGTTCCTCCAAACTTTCTATGAATAAACCTATCTTATCTTGTCATTTTGCAAAACAATGAACCATAAGGATGACTTATGAAAACGCAAGGAAAAAAACTGATTAGCTGCACTTGAGCACACTAGCCTGAGTGACCATTTGAACTCCTATTTTGAAACAAAATGCACTCAAGCAAATCAGCATAGCATTATGGGTTTTATCTTCTATGCTTTCTCTCACAAATTGATTATCAATTTCTGCAGCCACGGATGCTGCAAAGGTTGAGATGTGTATAAATATATGTGATATATATATATATATATATATATATATACATGTTAATAGGGCTTTGACACAGGTGATTAATATCTCTGGGTTATACTGTATGTCAGAAAATGTTCTGACCCCTATCTTTACAGTTAATACTCATTCATAATGTATTAATTAGAGTTATGTAAATCATACACAGAACAAGAAAATAGTTATGTAAGTAGAATACTATTTCATTAGTGAATATATTAAATAATATGAGTATTTTAAATAAAATCAAGACCAACAAATTTAATATAAACATAATTGAGTTGCCTCTTGCTTTGTAACAAAAGAGAGTCTGTTACTTAAAAATTGTATTGGCGGGCTGGCGAGATAGCTCAGCAGCCTAAGCATCTGCATAGGCAAGCGCAAGGAGTGGGGTTCAATCTCTGGCACCACATGCGGTGCCTGCCCTGCCCCCAGGGCCCTGAGCCAGCCACTAAGACTGGGCATGGTGGCTCATGCCTGTAATCCCAGTGCTGGGGAGACTGAGACAAGAGGATCTCTATGAGTCCAAGCTGTGTAGTGACACCCTGTACCAAATGCATATAAAACAATTTTGAGGAGTATCTGTGAATTAAAAAGAGACATGCTATATCTGTTGCGACTTGTACAGCTAAGGATTTGAACATAATCCTATTACCCCTCTCCCGTAAATTATTTAGTTTAATAGACTAACTGGAACCATTGGTTGATAGTCATTAATCAAGAGCTAGACCAGTCAACACAACTGTGGGTTTCTCTCCAGACATATTAAGCTGTCCAGGTACTTAGCATGCATGGAATAAACATAATTTAACTTGGGTGATTATTTAGCTGTGCAGGTATGATGCAAGGAGCATAGTTCAAAGGAACCATTATAATGATGCCCCATGGGAACAAAATGGAGAACTGAAATAAAGGTATAAGAAGTTGACAATATTATATGAATTAGATGCCTCAATTATTATATTTAATTGATAAAATGGTGGTATCAGATTATGTAAACAATAGCTATTAGAACAGTGGTTGGAGAATGTTCAAGATATCAAGCATGGTCATGGGAGTGGGTAGTTCAAAAGTAGGAAGGTAAAGATAATTTGAAATCTGTAATAAGGAACCAAGATGCTGACATTATGTTCATGAAGATTATTCCACATATAGCGCAGGCGTAGGCATAAAAAGAAAACACTGATTCAAGTGTTGAAATATTTACAGACTAAGGGAGTTGGAGATGAGTGGATATTAGTCATATTTGCTCACTCAATTCATACTTGTGAGAATCAAATGATATATTCTCTGAAAAAGCATAATAGAAAAGTACAAAACTAGGTAGGGGGGTAGGGTAAAACCCGTTAGTTTTACCAGTGCTTGATAACCTGATCTCTCTACCTATGACTTAAGGCTAAAGACAATATCCTATCGTACTCCATAGGAGATTAGAAAGTTAAGTGACATGATATGTTAGTTTGAAACTCAGGAGTGGTACATGTTCAAACCAGGATTTAGTTTTTTTTTAGCCTTGAAATCTCCATATCCTGCTGATACTCTAGATCACACTGAGAATCAGATAACATTCTTTCTTATCTTTGATTTCAGACATTTCAACAGTCTTCTCTGCAGCACAAATCAAAGAAGAAAAATAAAGGTAAGAAATACAAAACTTTATCTACTTACTTTGTACTGTGACAATCACCGGCACCCTTCACTCAGCCTTTTTTGCTTGAGCCTGAAGTGGTTTGCAAAAGCACAACCCTATAATGAAAAGAGCTATCAAGACCAGCTTCTCCTTCGGGTGAATTTCTAGACTGTATACCTTTTACAGCAAGTGGTCCCAACCCATTTTGAGGCTGGGATACCGCATTTCTGATAATATTGTGTCACTTATGTGGAGGAAAAGGTGTTAAAGATTTCTGTGTTACAATCTAAAAATGGTAAGTTCTAAGGTTTAGTGCCCAGACATAATTTTAAGACCCGTAGGTTAATCCTCTACATCTTTTCAAAATTTAAGCGACATTGTAACTTACTGTTATATTTAGGTCCCATTGCAGGCAAGAGCAAAAGGCGAATTTCTTGCAAGGATCTTGGCCGTGGTGACTGTGAGGGCTGGCTTTGGAAAAAGAAGGATGCAAAGAGCTACTTTTCACAGAAATGGAAGAAATACTGGTTTGTTCTAAAGGACGCATCCCTGTACTGGTATATTAATGAAGAGGTAATGCAACATACGTTTTGTGTTCTCAGCCATTCTCTATCTTTAACCAAAAGCATCACTATTTTGATCTTGGTATGTAAAACTCGTATCACCTTAAATCCAACTCAGGAGATGAATTCTACTTATTGTTTCAATCTATCCCCTTTTAAATTAAGTTTATTGGTGTATTTTAAATATACATTACAGGGCTGGTGAGATGGCTCAGTGGTCTAAAGCACCTACTTAGAACGAGCTTAGTAAAGCAAAGGGACCTCGGTTCAATCCCCCAGCCCCACATGCCAGCCAGCCCCGTCCCCTGGTGGACTGAGCTGGCCACACACACACACACACACACACACACACACACACACAAATAAATGAAAATTTTAAAAAAATAAAAATAAAAAAATAAATATACATTACATTTTGAGATTCAGGAAAAATAATTTTCTCATCTATTCTAATGAAGGAATGTATCTGAAGCACCGATAGGGCATAGTAAAATTGTATATATCCAACTACAAAACCAAGCAACTTCAAAGCAGTAGTTTAACTCAAAGGACTGTACATGAAAATTTAATAAAGATTTTTAAGTATCTTTCTTTTGTTTAAAGTTACACATTTCTTTCTGTTGTTCCCCCCAAGGGTAGAGCTCTTTAGCAATGGGTATAAATTAGTATCACATGAATTTGTTTTGTTTCATGAACAATTATTTCTGCTGTTAATTTAGGAAAAGAAAGTACATGGCTTATATAATATGTTGGTTAAAGTCTTCTAACAGATACTATTAAGATATTTATTTGAAGATTAATTGTTGAAATATAATTTTAAAATATTATTGGGCTTATGAATACAACACACAGTATCAAGAGTATTGGTGTTTGCTAAACAAGCTCATGTCAGGAGAGTAGGTTCAGGCATCACACCCCCTGTTACTGGCCTTCAGCTTCTTCATCTGTAAAACATGAGTACTAATGCCTAAGTTACTGAGATCTTACATGGGTAAAATGAATCAGCAAATGTAAAACTCACTGAGAACCATGCCTGGTATATATTAAGTGCTCAAGCAATTTGCTAATAGTAATATTTTTTAAATTGAACTTTATTTTTACAATCTGGAATTAGTATTCTTCTATTTACATAATATACATAATTATATATATTATATATACAAAAAGATTTGATTGGTTTTGTTCTTTTGATATTTTTGTGGCCATCCTGTAATTACCTAAAACAGTGGTGGAAACCTTCTAGAATTTTGAGTGATACAAACAGGCTGCTGTGGCATGCATGCTACCACTAACCTAAATGATCCTCTGCTTCAAATATCTTCTTTTAGGTATAATAAACATTAATTTGAGTTCTATTTTAATGTGATGGACATATTAAATACTTCTTATATGTCTACCAAGTAATAAAATTCTAAAAAATCTTAATGTTATATACAAGCTATTCCAACCATCTAAACAACTATCTTGGCAAGCCTTTTAATCATTGTGTCCCTTCTGGTCATCATCAATCCTCTTAGACTTTTACTCAAACAAGCTTTGCTTCGATCTGTGTTATAGAAGCTTATAGAACCTTGAATGTTGAGTTCAAATTAAGATACATTCCCATCCTTTTTTTTAATTCAGCATTAAAGACAGGAAAGTTTTGTGGATATTATTATGTTTTCCAATTGAAAAATCTCAACATACACACAGCACACATCCCATATGTGAAGATCAAGTTAAAATATTTCATTTATGAATTCATGAACATACAAAACAGTAATTATACAAACAGAAAAAAATCAAATCAGTGAACATCTGTGTATTTTATATCTGAACATTAAGTATAATAAAACATCATGTATTACAAAAGTGAACTACAGTTTATTTTATATATCATAAATATGTCCTAAATGGCCTCTAAGCAGCCCTTTTTTATTTTTGGTGAGGCTAGAGATTGTATCCAGGGCCTCACAAATGCTCTGTGATCTATACCCACAGCCCCAAAAAGGTTCTTGTAAAACATATCTCAGTTTAAGAATTTAAAAATTTTCTGTCCTTTTGATATAAACATTTTAAAGCATTGTATAAGTTTAATTTGTACTATTCTGAATGTTCAAAGAGAGATGTGGTGGCACATGCTTGTAATCCTTGCACTCAGGAGGCTGAGGCAGGAGGATCTTTGTGAGCTCAAGGACACCTGGGTTGCATAGTCAGTTCAAAACAAGCATGAACTATACAGTGAGATTCTGTCTCAAATTATATATATATATGCTTTCAATTTATGGAATATATCTGGAAAAAATGTAATTCTATCCTCAAATGTCAAAGTTAAAGACTTAGATGAACAAATTTATTAATATAGATATTTAAGGCTTAAAAAATAATCTTGCTTCCTCAGGATGAAAAAGCAGAAGGATTCATCAGTCTGCCTGAATTTAAAATTGATAGAGCCAGTGAATGCCGCAAGAAATAGTAAGTTGGTTTTATTTGGGAAGAGGGACATAAGGGAAAAGATATTTATTTGTTTGTTTGTTTAATTTGCAACTCAAAGTACCTTATTTGTTACTTTCAAGTTGAAGCAATAAAATAATTTTGTGAATAGAAAATTAATTTTTTACTGATTTCTGTTATCATGGTAGAAACATTAGTATGTGAACTCAGGTTAGATGTTGAGGTGAATTTTATCCATATTATTTGGTTTAAGTTTATTTCCTAATTTGTAATTAAATAAATGTAACTTTTTTTTTCCAGTGCATTCAAAGCCTGCCATCCTAAAATCAAAAGCTTTTATTTTGCTGCTGAACATCTTGACGACATGAACAGGTAAAGGAGTATTTAAATTTCAAAGTACATAGACAGACTTAAAATTATGTGATTTCTACAGTAATGCTTAGAGAAAGTCACTGGATTTTCTAAACTGATTAAAGTAAAATGAAATCATCTGTAGTTCAATGTGACCATACCTAAGTTTGAAGAATAATATTGACCATATCATATTGTAAACCCAAAACATACACAATTTATTCGGAAAAATAGTTACCTTTAGAAAATCAAACTCAGTGTTTATTTGTCAAGTTTATAAAAAAAAAAACACCAGAATCTGCATATAGGCCAAAAAATTCTACCCCTAAAAGGTCATTTCAAAAATTACAAAATTTATTTGTAAGTGACCCCAAAAAAAAGTATATAATTAAGGTGACTTTTTCAAGCGTAAAACATTTTGTACAAAACATCCATCTCAGTAATTCAGGCCTCAGCAATTTGAGTAATCTTTTCCAGCACTGGACAGAACCTTCCACTAGTGATTAGATGGCTTGGTTGCTATTTGGTGGCTTGTTCCCTTCCACATTCTTCTTCATGTTTAAACTTTGGCTTTTATGATTTCCTTACTTCTCTTTACTTTCCCCTTTTCCTTCAATAAAATCACAAAAATGAAGTTTAAGTCAAAATTTATCCTTCCTATAGTTTTAGCAACCAATGATAGATAGATAGATGATCAATCAATCAATCAATCAATCGATAGCCTGCCTATGGTTAAGGAAAGGTAACATAGGATAAGATCAGAAACATGTAGCTTTTTCTAGTTTATTATTACATGTGCGCAGTACATAATGTTTACATTCCTTATGGGGAGCTGGAGCTGGTACATTCACATAACACATCTTAATTCCTTTTTTACAGCCCCTTCCCTCCCCTTTTCCCCCTTCTACACATTTCTTTATTCTCTTTCCTCTATCTCTTGATCATCTTCCTTTTTTGTACTTTTAAGTATGTAATATTTATATGCCTTGTGTGAAATTGGTGCATGTACATAGCACAATGAAAAAAATTAGGAGCTCGTGGTTTTTGAACAAGGCTAAGTCCTAGTCCTGCAAGATAGTAGCTATGTGGCCTGGGAAAATAGACTGGACCCCTTGTTTATTCCAATGTGTTCAATAGCTGGGTGGGAATAATAACTGTCTTAATCCCAGCTCCACCAGTTAGTAGCTCTGCAAAGTTAGGGAACAAAATTAAACTCAGTACACTAGGTTCTTAGAGTAAAAATAACTATCACTATCAATAGGTTTTTATGGGGGGGCATATAAATTTTAAGTGCAACATAAATATTTACTGTCAGTATATATTCCTCTGTATAATTAAGCCTTTTAGCCTAATTACATTTCTTTGTATGTCTCTAAGAAATAATATCTTATTTTAAGCACAGAATCTGTATAGGTTCATAAAAATGTGCACTGTCATAATTAATCTTATTTTTTGATACTCAGGAGTGCAGGGTTGTTTTTTCCAACAAAAGATATTAGTATAAGGAAATAGCAAAGAAGGAAGGTGTTGAGAACACTTGATTAAATATTTTATTAGTAAAAGATCTAATGCTTTCCTGTAGTTTTCAAAATCTTCCCTAGATTTATTTAACTTGCCATCCTTGAAATTTCACAGCAGGCCCCTGGAATTTTGAGAGCTTTTCCTTCTTATTCTCAAGATAAAGACGTTCATTCTCATGCACATGGGAGCGGGAAAGTGTAATATTCTAGTTTGTGTCTTAATTGTTTTATAACTTTGTTTTTCTAGGTTTTCACCATCCATTTTACCATACATTAAATGTAATGGCCTTGGGATAAATACAAAGGGTTTATATCATGACCAAATTGAAAATAAGTGGTATAGCTAAGCATTACCTGTCTGAAAAGATGGATATTTTAGATCCCATTCACTACTCCTTAAGAAATAACATAATTTAATCATTCATGATACATGTTGATGAGGACCATTTTATGCTTAGAAATTACCATTTAAAATGCATTTTGATGAACTATAATATGCTTCTTAGCCTCCATTTCCTACTGCATGCTGACAATACCTTCAAGAGAATGCTGATGTCACTATTTTTCCTGAGACTGTACTCACACCACCGTATCTGGTTTTGAATACCACAGAAGAAACCAAATCCATGGACTTTCTCTAAGCAATACACAAAAGTCTAACTAAAAATATCATCTCTAAATATATACTTAAAAGTGCTGTTCATTGTAGGGTGTGCCCTGGTACACTTTGCCTTTTAGTACTGACCCAAAATGCTGAATTGTTTTTGTTTAATTGAAACATATTTTTGTTTTGTTTTTATCTTTGTCTTTTTTTTCAGTTACCTCATTCTGTTTACATCTAGTAAGCAGAACTTTGAAAATTACTTGTCATTAACAAATGAATCAACTTGTTATTAGAAAGAGAAAAGTTTCAGTGCTAAAAACATATCAATATTTGATGAAAAATACCTGTTCCATGTTATGCCTAAGATGTTTGATATTCAGACAGATAGTGAGGTTAAGCTTTACAGCCTAGGTTGTATGGTAACAATAATAACCTTGTCTTCTGGAGAGTTAACAACCTAAGTTTGCAGACCAAAATTAGAGAAAAAGGAGGGCTGAAAGGTAAGCCAATATTGTAGCCCTAGCCTTCCAAGGTCAATTAAGACTCAGGACATATGAGAACTTGTACTGTAACGTCATGTAACTCGGTAGTGTCCCAAATTTTCTGATCAAGGAGATTATGGGGCCAAAGAGGAAAGTAATCAATGATGTAGAGTGTGCCTAAGGAGAGTCACGTGGAGAGAAAACATTCTCTCAGGCTTTCACAGAGAGCACACTGGTCAACCAATGGCCATGACTCATCCACATGGCTGCTCTGACAAAGGTTCTACAGTCTGAGGTACAGGATCTCAGGATAAATCCTGAGGGCATTTCACTGACCTTATCAGACCCAAAAGCTACAACTCTTGTTACATAGCTCTTAGTTCATCTTGGTTTTAACTATTCAGTAGAAAAGTATAAAAACGAAGTATAAGAAGTAATCCATGCTGTTATGTTGAGCTGTAGGGGACTCAGGTCAATAATTTCTGACATTGCCAGTCAAGCAGAAGACCCAATACTATTATGGGCTACTGGACTCTTTTAAAATGTTTTGCTGAGTTTACATACCTATAACATTCAAATAACAGAACTAAACAAAAAAGGGGATACAGATGAATGTCCGTTTTGTATCTGTGTATTCAAAATGGTTAGGATAGATATATAGTTACATTCTGTTAATGAATAGAGTGATTTGTTGTAATAGTGTTTATAAATAGGATATCATGTCTGCATCTTCTACAGCAAATAACCACTAGCAAGACAGTATGCAATGTGTTAATTATTGAAACTGTCCTACCAATTTGATTTGAAACTGTCTCATTGCTATTTGTTTCTCAATAAAATTTTGAAAAAAAATAAAAATAAAATAAAATAAATAAAAGATGGTCTTGTGAGTACACGGTTCTGTATTCTTCTCTATGAGAGATATATATCCAGGAAAAAAATACAGTGCTTGGCTAATAAAAATAAATAAATAAAAATAAATAAATAAAATTATGGAAATAAATAAATAAATGAAAATATGCTAGAGGATTAGGAATATGAAGCGACCCACATATATCTATGTTCAGTTATCTGGTTAGAAAGCAAAATTATCTGGGAATTGACTTATTATATTTGTAATCTTTTAAAGATATGTGCTTTAGTCTGCAAGAGAAAATATACTTATAAAATAATTATGATTACAGTAAATATCTGTTTTACCTGATCATTTTATACTTTTTAAAGTATCAATAACTTCTTATAAAAATATAGTATTTTACAAACTAAAGTATCTTTCTCTTCATATTTAAAAAATATATATCCATAACACTTTGCAAACAAAGTCTAGGTAAGGAAATATTTGGATTATAGTGAAAATTGTAATAAGATGTCCTGACTGACAAAAGTAATGTGCTGGCTTGACCACCTAACCTAAAATAGCCTTTCCTCATCCCCAGAAATTTTGACATCCTAATATTCTACGTTCCTACTTTTTCTTTAAATAGCTTTTGCTTATACTTTACATATACTTCTTTGTGTCTCTCTTTCTTTCTTATCTCCCTAAGATATAGGCATCATAAAATCAGGCACTTTGTCTTATTTCTCTCTTTATTCTGGGTTTCTAGAGTAGCACTGGATATATACAGGTTTTCAGTAAATACACTTTGAGTTAGTTGATACATATATGTCTACACCTATTATAGCCTTAAAAAACAAATTATAGCAATAGCAAGACTGAATATTAATGTCTTCCACGTAAACTGTTAATGTCAATTTTATCCTAAATTACACCATTTTTGTAGTATTCAACCTTTTGTAGCTCTCCACAGCTGTTATATCCATGCCATTTGGAGTTATAATGAACATAATTTTTCTTCCTAAAAGTACTTTAAATTTTCAAGTGCCCTTTGAAATCTATCAGTACTAGATTTACTCAGGGACTATATCTTAGTCTTTTATCTATCCCTAAAATATACCTCATTGTTCAGCACATATCAAGCACTTAATAAATGGTGAATTTAAAAATTGAGGAAGCCTCTTTCTAATATTTTCATTTACCTCATGAGGGACTTCATGGTTCTCTAGAATTCTGATAAAAATTTCAGTGACATTTTTTAAAAATATAAATACAAGACACTAGATAAAAATTCATTGATGAATTTGTGTTGAGTGATATATACCAAAAGCACTAGCTAGTCTTTCCAAAAAAATGGTAAAAAAATGCCTTGTAGTACAAATTTAACTTCTTTTTCATTGCAAATGGATTATAGACTGGATTTTAATTTTGACTTCTTTTCTAATCATTAGATTAATATTTAAAGGGTTGTTTGTCATGATGTTAACTTTTGATTTAACACTTTATAACCTTCCAGAGTTTATGTATGTGTATTATGCTATTGAATTCATATGATGACTATATTATTCCATTTCTACTTCAGTCTCTTCTTTACTTCCCACACGTACTTCAACAATTACCTTGTAGATTTTATGAAAATAAAGTTTGGCTTGGGGCCAGGGAGATGGCTCAGTGGAATAAGCACTTCCCTGGCAAGTGCAAGGGCCTGAGTTCAATCCCCAGTTCTGAAAAAAAAAGTTTGGCTTTAAGTGACTTATTCTTAAAGTTTCCATAGATAGTGATATTGTCTTCTAGAAATACAACTTTGGTCTCTTTTCAAAATGTGCTTAATACCAGGTGCACAATTAACATGGTTTGGGAAAAATGGTGAAATATATGAGTGCTTTCAAAGAATATAATCTACTTAATAGGGGAGAGAAGATGTTAGGTGAACAAGTTCTTAAGCAGAAGTTTTTCTTCAAATCTATCTACATAAGATGGTGCCACAATGTAATAATATTAACTATGCTAGTAATTCCATAGTTACTTCAACTAGTTTGAAAGATGGATTCTTCTTTCTCACTTGGACAAGTGTATGAGTCTTGGCTCAAGATTTCCCAGTGGGAGATTGTCACGTTATTTAAATATTTCTCAATTTCATAATCTGATGCAGTGTAAATAATTGGAATAGTGAACACAAGAACCTGAGAAGAAGAAAAGAAAACTAATGAGACAGTGCAGTACTTTGCTTCAGGCAGTTTCTACATTGGCCATGGTAGCAGTACATGATGAGGAAGGAATTAAGATTTGCTCTTAACTTGCTATTGTTCATGAAAACAATCTTGAAGATCCAAATGAAAGTTAAAATTGTATCTGTATATTATATCTTCGGAAAACTAAATACCCTTAGATGTAGAAACAGGTTTCTGAAGCATGTCATGAAGCGTATTTCTCCTTGGTTCATTAAGCTTAAATGATCTTAGTCAAAATATTATTCCACAGTAAAACTCCTTTTCACAGGCAAGGCCCAATATCAGGATAAATTAGACTTGTTATCATCTAAGTATATTTAAGGGAGCATTTGTTCTAAAGAAACAGAACAGTAGCAATATTTGGAGTGCTTTTACACTTGGTGCAAAAAAATAGTATACCTTTAGTTATCTTAAATCCCTTTATTTTACAGTTATTAACAGCTTTGCCCAAGTGTTCTGTTGAAAGAACGTCTTAATTATGGGAACACTTTGTACTACAGTAAATTATGGCTCATTGAATACTCAGTGTATCAAGAGTAGCAAAGAACACAGCATACATAAGGTCATTTCAAATACCCTTAGACATCTTAAATATTCCTAAGAAGTAAATTATAAGAAATTAACTTGCAATGTTACTGATTTTATTAATTGTTTTTTCAGGTGGCTTAACAGAATTAATATGCTGACTGCAGGATATGCAGAAAGAGAGAGGATTAAGCAAGAACAAGGTAATGGAATATCTTTTAATACAATTGTTTTATACATTTTTCTTGCTATTCTCCTATACAGCAAGTATGTATAGGATGCTGTTACTTGAAAGAAAATATGCCATATGCCAGTGTATGGCCATTTCTCTCTGGGCATTTTGAATCTAAATCATAGCAAATTATAGATAACATTTAGTACATTGAATGGACAGGGAATAAACTCAGAAATTTTTGGAGCACTTATTGTGGACTTTTCTCCTGATTACTGTTCTTTCAATTCATCTATTTTTTATGAAAAAAAATCTTAAAAAGGAAAGATCCTGTAACAGGTTTTATGTATTGGCCCAAGCCCAGGACCTTGGCAGAGAGCTTTGTTTATCTGTTTTTCTTTTACACTATTGATTAGTTTCATAGATATTTAATTAGACTTTTATATGAAGAGGTCAGATTGTAATCCTTTGCTTTATAGAGTATCTCATGTGGTGATGTTCTTCACCTTTCTTACTGTGTAACTCTCTGATCTTGGGAAATTGGCCTTGGCATTGAGCTCAGATTTATAAAACAAGTCATGATGAATACCTGAAATCTTAAGAATGAACGCTGTAATCATTCGGAGGTGGATTCACATTTCTGAGTATCCTAGAAGCATAAATAGTTTCTTAAAATTGTTTGAGACCTCCTAAAGTTAAAAGAATTCCATAGATTGATACAAATACTAGCAAAGCTTCCCTATAGTTGTGTCTCCAATAAGCTAAGTTCTTCATTTGGAATTTGTAAAAGCCTATTTCATCTAAGAATTAGAGTAAAACCTCAGCCAAAACCTTAAAGAGAAGAAAAACATCTAAAAACTAACATCTTAGAGACCCAGAATAATGTTTTGAGTCTTAAGGACCATACACTGTCTCTGTTGCGGCAATGCATTTCTACTAGTGCGAAAGTAAACATAGACGCTTGAGTGGGCATGGCTGTGTTCGAGTGGGCTTTATGATTCTAATATTATGTTAGTTTTCACACTTTGAAAAATAGTTTTCTTGGGCCAGCCAGATAGCTTAGTGCACTAAAGTGCCTGCTTAGGCAGAGCACAGCAGCTGGGGTTCTATCCCTGGCATGCTATGCCCGCCTTGCCCCCAGGGTGCACTGTAAGGGAGACTGAGATTGGGAGTGGTGGCACACACCTGCAATCCCAGCGCTTGGAAGGCTGAAAACAGGAGTATCACTATGAGTCCAATCTATGTAGTAAGACCCTGTATACTCTGTTGACCCTGTCCTAAATTCAAAATTAAAAAAAAAAGAAAGAAAAATAGTTTTCTTTTGATTTCTTTTTTAGCCATTGAAACTTCAAAAACAATTCTTGGTCCACAGACCATGTGAAAATAGCCATTGGGCCACATCTGACCTTCAGGCCAAAGCATGGTTAGGTTTGGGCCAAGGGGTGAGCAAATAGATATTTTCAATTCATTGTAGAGTAAGGAAATACAGCAGGAAAATTCCATATAAATAGCCAACACAGTTACTGCTAAGGAGGATTTCTTGTCTTATTGTGGACTTCAAAAATATATTCTTGAACTTATTTAAGGAAAACTAAAAAACAACATAAATGCATATGAGTACTAACCTTTATAGAGTATACAACTGATAAAAATAATGTACTGAACAGATTTAATTAAAAATTAACTTGAGAAGGTGGCAATGATAATGAGAAAGTAATTTTTGAAAAAATGGTCAGTGAGCTTGATATAGTCTACAATGGAGCAAGAGTGAACATATTTTATTCAGTATTAAGTTCTGTGTGCAACCCTCAACTAGCACTTATAATCATGGGAATGTGAACTAGGCACTCATCGTGCCTGAAACTGCCTTCTGTTCTGATAGGAGTTTGTCTTAGTGTAATACATAAAGTTAAATATAATAAAGTGCAAATCAAGTTCCACAGAAATGTGGCTAAAGGGTCTTCTCAAGAAGAGAATGGAGAAAGATTTGATGCTGAGTCTGTTTCCCAACTGGTTCTTAGGCCATGGGAAGGGTGTGCACTCAAGGCAGCAACTGAAACATTCCAGGGAGTGGAAGCAGCATGGGCAGTTCCACAACTAGGACAGGAGCCACTGCCATCAATCGACGTGCACCAGCACATCTTGGCCAAGACTATGAAATAGCAAGCCTGTTATTAAGACACATACATGTCTTAATGGTTAGAAGTTTATTCTTCACATTCATGCTTTAGTATCATTCATTTCATAGGACTAAATTTTTGATGAGAATACTGAAAAAAATGCCAGCCTTATTTTTCAAATTCTTTAAAAGACATAAGCAGTTCTTTTAAAGTGGTTATAGATATTTTCTGAATTTTTTATTTAGTACATATACACATCACATTTTGATCATTTGTACCTCCCCTTCTTCTCCCTGCCTCTCCTCTAGCCCCCAGCCTCAGGTCCTCTTCCTGTCTACACAGTCTGTCTTTCTGTTGCAGATCATCTGTCCTTTATTTTACTCTTTAAATTAAAGGCACAAGTGGGTAATGTACTGATAGAAAAATGAACCTATGAAAACTGTTAATCTGCATAAGTAAGGAAATGTGGCTTTTGACGCTTCCATTCTGTATTTCGTTGCTCAGTATTACTTTGAAGCTGAGCATGAACTTGATTTTAGCAAATTTCCTTTATACATGGTATTATATAATCAAATTTCATTGTGGATAAAAGAATTGGTAAATCATATTGCATATGCAGTTTCCAAAAAAGTATTTATTCTTTGGATTCACGCTGCCCTGGTCTGTCATGTGAGTATATATTTTAATCCCTACTGAAGTGTAATAGAAAATCATAAGCAGAAGCTTATCATTACAGTTCACGTCTCTCTCGGTAAGGCAATTCAACCAGAATCTCATAAGTAATTTTGATTTCCTCAGAGTATAAGGCATTTTAACTTATGACAAAAATATATTAGATTTCTACTTATACATTACTAGATCTCATGGTATCTACATAGAAAACTAAAAGATCCATAACTATTCCATATCTCTGTGATTACTTGACATCTTCTGAGTACCACTGTCAGTGCTGTAGTTAAACTTTATATGAGAAATAGCTCTTTGGATGTTAATAGTAGAACAGTAGTTACCAGAGGCTGGGAACATTAGGAGGAAGATGAGCAAAGGATAATCAATGTGTGCTGACTTTTACCTGGATGGAGTAAGAAATTCAGGGGTGTTGTAAGGTAGCATGGCTATAGATAATGATAATATATTACATATACATCCAAAAAGCTTAAAGAAAGGTGTTTGAATTTCTTTACCATAAAGAATTAGTAAATGAGGCAATAGGGCCAAACAAATAGCTCAATGGATTAAAACGCCTGCAAGCAGGCACAGGAGCCGGGGGTTTGATCCCCTGGGGGCACGCTGAGACAGCAATTGAGCCTAAGCATGATGGGGCGTGCCTGTAATCTCAGCTCTTGGGACACCATACATAGGCGGATCACTATGAGTCCGATCTAGTAGTGCGACCCTGAACACCTTGTGGACCTTGACCTAAAATACAAAAATAAAATAAAATAAATAAATGAGGCAATAAATATGTTTGCCTTTGTGGTATTGAGGATTGAACCCAGGGCCTTGACACTGGGCTGCATCCCAAACCGTTTGCATCTTCATGTTGAGACAGTCCGCCTAAGTTTTGAAGGCTGGGCTTAAACTTCTAGTCTTCCTGCTCCTGTCTACCAGAGTGCTGATATTACAAGAATATACCACCATATCTGAATTGTTTATCCTGACTAAAACATTACACAACATATATATGTACCATCAGATGGTACTCATGAATATGTAAAATTTTCATTTTAATGTACCAATTAGAATTAATTTATATTTTTAAAAAGCACAAAATGTAACTCTTTGAAGTTCAAAAATATTTCAGCAAGATGTAAAGTAATAGTTGCCAAACACTGTTTCTACTTAAATATCAGTGCAGCTTAGAAATGTCCCTCACTGACTGAAATAAAATTTAAGGGTAAAAAATGTTTGAGGATATAACCTAGTGCAAAGGCCCTGGGTTCAGTCACCCATACTGAAGAAAAAGTTTAATGATTGCTACGTTTAGTTACAGAAGTATGGAGTATGTAGGGTTCTCACCAGGTGTGGTGGTACAGTATCTGTAATCCCAGCACTCTGAAAGGTTGAGGCAGAAAAAACACAAGTTTAAGCCCAGCTGTGGCAACTTAGTGAGACCTTTACTAAAAATAAAAAAGAGCTGGGGATATATTTCAGTGCAAAGAGCCTTGGCTTGATCTTCAGTACCACAAAACATAAATTTTAGAAAGTTACACAAAGGCTGTGAGTAATTTAATATTCATAGTTGTAATTACATCGTTACAATTAGAGAAAACAAGGAACAGGTTTACAGTAAATTCAACCAAGATAGCAATTTGGCTGTTAGGATATGCTGTTCATTTTTCTGTTTATTTCTTTTCAGTTTTGATATTCATGACATTATTTTACTCACATACGAAGTCCTTATAAAGCTAAGCCGAATTATTAAGTTCTTTTAAGAAATTATCTTTTGGTTCAAAATGCAAAAGTAAAATTTATTCACGATTAATCGTAAAGTTGTATACTGTCACAGTAGACATGAAAGTATCCATTTATTTGTGCTATATAGAAAGCTACAGAAAACACTGATTTGCTGTTAGAATAAAATCAAACCAGATTCATCCTCTAAGCTGTGGTGTGTCCATGCAAACCCATAGTGCCTAACTACATTTTCTCCATAGCATCTTCTCTGGTATTGTCTCTCACGCATAGACAGCTTAGTATACGAAGTTAGTTTGCAAAGAAGTATACTACCCTTACCTTCAGTTATGCCAGTAAAAATTTAGATTGATGATACTTTTTAATAAACCAAGAATCACATCAGATGATGGGTGAGAATTCTTCCTAATGTAGCTAAGGAAAAAAAATTAGAGAACTTTCACAGATTTACAACTTTTAGTGACAGCTATGAAGCTCTGAACAAAGCAGTGAATACTTCCTTTTCCATTGCTAAAAAGAGGTTAACTAAGCGGGTATTATTAGCACAGTAAGACCTCAGATTACCAGTGCAAGCGTCAAGGAGAACTCAGCTAGAGTTCTGGAAATACCAGGAAAGATAATATTGAAGTGGTCTTGGCAAACCCACTGCTGTGTGTGTGTGTGTGTGTGTGTGTGTGTGTGTGTGTGTGTGTGTGTTGGGGACAGCTAGGGGGTGCTTAATCCCTTCACCTCCAACACTGACTTTCCAATAGGATTTAAGTCTCTTTCTAAAACTACCCAGCCTGAATCACAGCACATTCCATTTTTCATTTTTCATTGCTGGAACTTGCTATAAAAGTAAAACAAATGATGAACAGCAGGCATTTGTTGCCTCTGCAATTTAGGTCACACTGTCTTGGCATTCTACCTACAAATACATCTGAGATAGTATTTATTGAGGAGGTGGGGAGATAGCTCAGTGGTCTAAGTGCCTGCCCAGCAACCACAAGGACCTAGGTTCAATCCCTGCTACTATATACCATGCCTGGCTCAGAACCACGGGCACGCCATGTGGGCCACTGAAACTGGATGTGGTGCTGCACCCCTGTAATCCCAGTGATAAGGAGGCTGAGACAGGGGGGATCACTATGAGTCTGAGCTGCATAGCGAGACCCTGTACCAAATACGTAGATTTTTAAAGAATATTTATTGAGTAGTTTTGAAGTTCAAGACACTTGATTATATGTTATATTATTTAGTTCCACTGTTTTACTAGCCCTCCTTTTATAGATAGTAAAGCAGACCTACACAGGTTAAGTAACCATCCCAAGAGCACATATAGTAAGGGGTCGAGTCAAGAATGGAACTTCCACATCTCTCAGTGTATAGGTCATCCTTTTTCCACCAGCATTTGTTGTCTTTGTTTCTGGGCAATATATCAATTGACATTTGAATGAAGACTCATTTATTACGTATAACTGACCAGTATTTCATGGTTTTTACAATGAAAATAATCAAATTTAGCTTAACTAATTATTATTTGTCTTCTATTCAAGGGAATAATTAAAGTAGGAATAGAATTGTCACCGTCTTTGTGTATTAAGTCCTGAATATAATGGACAATTTATTTTAGTCCTGATTTCCATTGCTGAAAAGTTTCTGTTCACAGTAATCAAAGTTAAAAATCAGGAGGAGGTTGAACTAAGTGATCATCAGTATATTCACAACAAACTCCCCTGCTGTGTTAGGACAAGGAAGTTCAAACTCCAACTCCATTACTTTCTATTTAGCATATAATAGTTTTGCAATAAATGGTACCTGTACTTACTTAGTTACTTATTCTTGAGACAATATACCCAACATCGAAAGTTAAAGGAACAGAGGTTTTTTGTAACTCTTGGTTTATAGAGGTTTTAGTTTGCAGTTGGGTGGTTCCAAGGCAAGGTGGAATGGCAGAGGGGCATCACAGAGGAGAAACAGTTCATGATGGGCAGAAGGCAGCAAGGCTGCAAAGTAGCAATCAGCAAGGAGCAACTTATAGTAGCAGCCCATTTTCTGTCCCTCATACAGTCAGTCCAGGCCACATACCCTTAGGGCAGGTAACAGTCACACCCACAGTGGGCCTTCCCATTATCCACAACAGGAACTATGCCAAACCGATCAGTGGGCCAATTAAATAACCATACATCCTTAATCCAAGCATAACACACTTAATCTCAGCATTGTACACTCTAGATCCAGCCACTTTTGAAAAGCCCCACCTATGACCACGTGAGTATTTGGAGCTATATCTGGACACAAATCACAACACTTACTAATCAGCACCACAGGGGAAATATATAAAAATAGCATAATGTACAAATTCCTGGAAAGAGAAAAGTTCCTATAAAATTATATGCTGTGATTTTTCACCTAAATCTGAACATTTATTAACCCTTGCAATATAACTTTTTGACATAAATTTTATAAGAATAGGGGACCTTTTGATTCATTATCTTTGTTCTTATCAACTGAAACTGATATGGGTAATAATTTTTTTTCTGGTAAACAGCATAAAGAAATGAACCACCACTTATAAAGTGGGTGAGATATTAGTGGAACAGATTCTGATGATTGGCCTTTTGCTGCATTTGACTCAATCTGGCACCCTATCCCCCACAGTTATCCCTCCTCCTTCTTGCCTGAGGTCTGCCAAGTCACTTTGTCTGGCAGCTTACATTTTCTACTATTTTGTGTAGTTTTGAAACTTATAGCCCACATTTGGTAGATTTGCTCTTTTGCATTGCACAAAAATTGGGTGCTTGGCCCTGTGCTGCCAAGGAGAGATGCTAGCTATGGTGTTCTCAAGATGCGTGGCAACATGACTAGAGCACCGATTATTAAATGAGCAATGAATTGAAGCCAGGGAAAAGAGCTAAGAACATTGTTTGGGGCTATTTTTATGTCTGTAGAAGTATATGTGTTCTGTAAGTTTTCATATGTAACATAAAATGCTACACCTCTAAGAACCATCCCCTAATGTCATTTAAAATCATTATGTCTAGAATCAAAAGCAGTCTAACCCTAATTTGACTCATAAAACATATTTTTCTTAACTCCATAAAATTACAGCTTTTGTATAACCACTTGCTTTAAAAAAGAAGTTGGAAATAGATGATTATGCTCTTCTTCCTGTTCAAAACCCAGCTAAAAATGGGTAGGGGTCACTGCTTCACAATGTGGCATAGAAATGGAATTTAAGCTTCTTTTTCATAAATGGTAATATATGTTTCTAAAAATATGGTTAAAAACATTTAATAGAATGTCGTTTTTCCCATGTGTGGATTTTCAGATTACTGGAGTGAGAGTGACAAGGAAGAAGCAGATACTCCATCTACCCCCAAACAAGACAGCCCTCCACCTCCCTACGATACATACCCACGGCCTCCTTCTGTAAGTTAACAGAATGAGCATACTTAAAATATCACAGGTTCTTTGACCTTAAACACATGTTTTTAAAAAGTATGTGGTGAATTATATGTCAAACCTCAGCTCCCTTAGAGAAGCAAATTGAGGGTCAAAGTCTGTGAGGCAAATATTTTTATGTTATGTTTGTAGAATATTTAATGAAAAGAAAACCATCACAGACTACAGGCAGAAAGGCTATGTGACCAGTTTTACTAGGAAAATAACACTATTTTTGTCTGGGTAGCCTTTATGGAAATGTCAACAACAGAAAAGTTTTTTCATAAATAGATATATAAATTATCTTGTCTTTTATACACCAATGAAGTTCAATCCATCTCCTTTACAAGCAACGGGTAAATATTAATATTGTAGCTCTGGGCGTGTAGCTTGTGTCCATTTGTCATAAGAATTACTAAGAGTGTCTCTATGCCCCAATTTGGGTAATGTCCTCCATGGTCATGTTGCCATCAGAATTAATTCTGCTTATTTTGATACTGAGTGTCCCACAGAAGAAATGAAAGCTGGGATTTGATAACAACAGTCAGTCTAATTCTGTCTCTGTTACTACGGGGGGAACTCATATTTTCCCTCTTTCCCTAAAACATCAGGAGTTGAATGATTCTTTTTAAATATTTATAAAAGAGAAAGAAAGAGAAACTATAGCTTCACGGAGCTACTGTTTACATATAAACAGAGCAACTTGTGAATATCAAGAAGGAAACTATTCACATTATTATTAAAACATAGAGGAACAGCAGACCACCCACAGAAGATGTCAAATAATTTCTCCTCCTTTACTAGGGAGATGACAGCTCTGTTATCTCAGCCAGGCTTTTCTTGGCTTCCACTTCAGCCCCATTTGTGATGATCATATTCAACGAATCTGGCTCTTTCTGCCAGGAGACCTGGGCAAGCCTCCTAGTCCCCAGTATGGGTGCTGCACTACAAGTATTTTGTATCATTCTCCTGATACCAGCCCTTGGTTGTTTCTTACGTTCTGAGACTTTGATTTCATAGATAAAAATATTGTTTTCTTTTGTGCTTATGCTCCCTACGGTGTCTATGCTCAAGGCAGATGCTAGCCCTCAATAAAATATAATATCCTGCCTACATTTTTAGCTCTACGAAATGCCACAGAACTGACAAGATCATAAGACAGTTTTTCTGTGGCACCAATAGGAGCAAATTCTCACCTATGAAAATGAAGAATGGTTTACCCTGTCTATAGGCAACTTATTCTCATATCCAAGGGCCTAACTCTCTGCTTTCACATCTAAGTTGCGTGAAATCCAAAAATAGGAATCTGCAGACCGTTCTTCTTCAGGATGTCAATCAGTGTACATAGAGATTTTAAAACTGTTGTATTTAGATGCTAGCAACTTCTTCTATAAGTCTTCACATTTTCTCAGACTCCCATTACTGTGAACTTTGAATTATACATCAGCTTTGGAGGAGTGCCAGAAATCAAACTCAGGACCTTTTGCTTGCCAGGCAGGCAGTTCAAGACATCCATGTCTGTCTTTTAAAATATAAGCTGGGGCCTAACTTTGAAATATCTTTGCAACGGTGTAGTCATTGCTTGACTTTGTAAGAATACATCCACTTAAATGTTCCCTGATAAAAACGGAGTGTATTCCTTCAAAATAGAAGTAATGATGTGTGATTTGCATGGAGACTAATCAGAGGCTCCTTTCTACAGATGAGTTGTGCCAGTCCTTACGTGGAAGCAAAACATAGCCGGCTTTCCTCCACAGAGACCTCGCAGTCTCAGTCTTCTCATGAAGAATTTCGCCAGGAAATAACAGGGAGCAGTGCCATGTCCCCGATTCGCAAGACAGCCAGTCAGCGCCGCTCCTGGCAGGATTTAATCGAGACACCACTGACCAGTTCGGGCTTACATTATCTTCAGACTCTGCCCTTGGAGGATTCCGTCTTCTCTGACTCCGTGGCCATCTCTCCTGAGCACAGACGGCAGTCCACCCTTCCAACTCAGAAATGCCACCTTCAGGATCACTATGGGCCGTACCCCTTGGCCGAGAGCGAGAGGATGCAAGTGCTCAATGGCAACGGGGGCAAGCCTCGAAGCTTCACGCTGCCACGAGACAGCGGGTTCAACCACTGCTGTCTGAACGCACCAGTTAGTGCCTGTGACCCACAGGATGATGTGCCACCCCCTGAGGTGGAGGAAGAAGAGGAGGAGGAGGAGGAAGGGGAGGCAACAGGGGAAAACATAGGAGAAAAAAGTAAGTACGTTTATGGAAATTCTTGGCCTGTGTACACGAAGTCCCTAACCTTTTCAAACTTCTTATTTCAAGGAAATAAAATTTGTTTACCTTTTTGCTTTGTAGAAAGTTAGGTCTCCCCTGGTGTCCTATTTTCAGATCTTCAGTAACTTGGGGAAAGTGATGCATAATGAACCTTATTTCCCAGGATACCTACAGCTGGAGCAAATAATTTGTTTCTCCCAGTTACTTATTTTCCTTTTATGGTTAATAGTATTTTTTTTCTTCGTTCTCTTATCCACTTTTTTTCATGTGCATGCCTTATCCTGTTGGTCCCCTATAATAGCCCCTTGAGCATTTTAAGAATCTATAAATAATTCAAGCATTTTGTTAACAGATCTCTGGTTGAATAATTGAACATACACACCCACCTACACCTGCACAAATGCATATATGTCCTCCCTCTCCACTGTCAGATTTAAAGGAATAAATCCCAAAAGGCAGCTTCTCCAAGGAAAGATTTCCCATAGTGTTTCTGTCAACTCCAAATAGCTGAACTTGTTTTGTGAATCCAATTTGCCAAAAATATCCATATACTTTTTTAATATACATGTTGATTATAAAACTTTTATAAAAATCAACTCTTAAAAGAGACAAATCAATTCAATAACATCTGTCTTGTTGGCATTAAGAAGGTGCTTACTAGATATTAAGTTCTTTATCAAACCATATGAAGCATCTACTTATAGCAAACAAGATTACTCAATGGTTCTGAAAACAGGCTAGTCTAACAAAATGACTATAACACAAGTTATTTTAGCTAGAAAGAAAATCCACTTTTTGCTGTAAATCCTGAGCTAATTTGTATAAAAAAGTATAAAAGAAATAATATAAAATTATTTACATCTCTTTATTCGAAATGCACTCTTAATCAATTATTGCAGATGACCTGAGCCAATGGTGATGAAATAAATGAAGCATTTTTCCCCCTAGGGCATTACGCTTCTCTTTTTGAAGGATGCAAACAGAATGTAGCTTTCAGCCCTTTTATTGTTGTTGTTGTTGTTGTTGTTGTTGTTGTTGTTGCTGCTGTTGTTGTTGCTTGAAAATGAGTCTCTATGTAGTTCAGGCTGGTCTTGAACTCACTGTGTAGTCCAGGCTGGCCTCAAACTCATGGTACTCCTTCTGCTTCAGGTTCCCAAGTGCTTGAATTACAGGTATGCACAGTACACCTAGCTCTATGGGGCTTTGACTGTGGGATATATGAATTTAAATTCTTCATCACAATTAGAAAAATAAGTTGAAGTTCACAAGCTACCAAGAGCACAGGAGCTCTATGTCAATGTGAGCCTTAGTTTCTTTAAAACAAGAGCTACTTTGGAAATTACTGACAAAAGGATACTGTAGACTTCCTCATTTTATGATATAGATCTTTCTTACGTCAATTAATAGAAATTATATGTCTTCCACCAAAAATATAAGCATTTCTTATAATAAAGTGAGGTTGAGGAAATTTCCATGCAAAGTATATTTTAGCTACAATCTCCATGAGAAACATTATAAAAAGTATGCTGCTGGTGTGGGAAAAGTAATTTCCATCCATTAGCTTCCATGTTCCCACAACACCCACATCTCTCAGACCTTTTTGAAGTGTTGTGGAAGATATGTTTAGGACTCATGCTAGGCCTTGATAGCAGTTCCAATAATCATTATAATAAATGTTTAATATTCTAAAGATTACCAACATTAATAAATTATTTCTAAAATTTAAAGATGGGTTAGAATCTTAATTTCAACTCTCATCTAGATATTTCATGATGGCTATGACTAAGTTTGCAAGGTTTGCTTATTCTTCTACAAACACTGGGAAAAGTACTTTCAGCAATCTTAAAACAAAATATGATGAAATTACTTACATCCCTCTTAAATGGAAAATTCTGGGGCCGGGAAGATGGCTCAGTAGAATAAGCTCTTGCCTGGCAAGCTCAAGGGCCTGAGTTCAATCCCCGGTTGCGAAAAAAAAGAAAGAAAAAAAAAAGGAAGGAAGGAAGGAAGGAAGGAAGGAAGGAAGGAAGGAAGGAAGGAAGGAAGGAAGGAAGAAAATTCTGTTCAGATCCCCCATCCCTATAGGCAGATTCATTGATACAGTCTTTTGTTAAATAAAGTACTCAACAGTTTATCCTGGTCAGTACATTAGGGAAGATTAGATAGAAGCACATATATATAGGATACACACACGCATACAGAGAGAGAGAGAGAGAGAGAGAGAGAGAGAGAGAGAGAGAGAGAGAGATGCCTTGATGCCTACCCTTCCGTCAGGTTTCCAGTAGCCCACAGAGCATCTCTAGTTAGATCACTTGTTATTTTTGTGCAGTTTTTTTAAATAGAGTTTCCTTTTTTGTTGTTCTATGAATGTAATTCATTTTCAGCCATACAGACTTATTCCTAATTGGATAATTTTTTTAGTTCTGGTTTCAGACAGGTTAATTGTATACTATTTATCTCTATCCCTGAGCTGTCTTCATAGAAAAATATCATAAGGCAGAACAGCCCTTGTACATGTGCCTATAAATTTGGTATTACATGTTTTATGTTTATACTTCAAGATTTTGTAGCAATTCATGTAGTCAGGTCAGTTTCACCAAGGGTAGCCATCCACTAGTGTTCAGGGCCTATTTCTTTCTGTGTATTTTTCAATAAATCTTGCCATTTGATATATCAATTTACTTCATGCTGTTCTCAACAAAGCAGTGCATTTCATGTTTTCCTGGAAGATTTTTTTTTTGGCGGTACCAGGGATTGAACTCAGAATCAGGCAGGCACTTATGTCACTGAGCTATATGCCTGGCCCCAGGAGATTTTTCTTATCCAGAGGACTGTATGTTCACCTTTCTAATAATGACTTTTGCATTTCTATTTCTCATATTTTAGGAGCATACTATATTAATGTTTCACTTGGGAAACATTAGCTTTAAAACTCAATGATTTCAAATTACACATGGTGTGCACACCTGTAATCCCAGCTACTTGAAAGGCTGAGGCAGGAATATCTCAAGCTCAATGCCAAATTAGGCAATTTAGAAAAAGGATTTCTCAAAATAAATATAGAAAAGGAGCTAGGAATGTAGCTCAGTGGCATGGCACTTGCCTAGAGTGCTCAGACAACTGGGTTCCATCCCCAGCACCCCAAGAAAACTCAGTTTGCAAAAGACTATTTAAATTCTAGTTAAAGTGCACCATATTTATGGCTGGCCCAGCCTAGCCCTTAGAAATAACTGTGAAGTCTGCTTACTCAAACGAAGCTGCTCAGTGTTATGCCAGCAAAGCAAAAGTTATACACAAGAACCAAGCTGTGCCCATTACATCAACCTCATTCTTGTGTCCATTGCCCACAGCACAGTGTGTTCACGTGCTGCTGCACAGGTTAATGGACAACCTGTCCTTGTACGAATTGCAGGCTAATGGTGGTATATTAATGACTATCATGCTAGAAGCCAGCTTTCAGTTGCCTATTGAAGTGAATTCACTCTACAAAAGTGCAGACATGCAAAGGGACTAAGCTTAAAATACAGCAAGTATCAGACAAGTGGGCAAAAGGAGTAACAGCACAACATATGAAAATCCAGCCTGTCTCATGCCTTAACAGTGAAGAATCATTGCAGATGAAGCCTTTCATGCTATTTATATATTGTCTTACCTTATGTAACATGGCATGTATTATATGGTGCTTACAAAGAATCTCAGAATCAAAATGTATTTAAATCCATGCCCTGAATGTTTTTCAGTTTTCTTCTGGGTGTGGAATTTGGTCCTGATCATGAAAGTTTAAGTTTAGCCTTCCTTATGGCAGATTTAAATCTTTGTTTCAGTGGTTTGAATTCTCTTTTGTCATATTTTCAAATTCAGTTATTTAACTGAGTCATACTGCTTTTCTCAAGCTGAATCCATTTTAGACTGAAGTGGGTGATATGACAAGTACACAAACGAGACTCGTCTTGATTTTCTTTGCTTGAAAAGTCAGTTTCGTATTAATTATCCTGACCTGCTTCCTTGGCATTTGGGAGAAGACAGGCAATGTCCTATTATTCCAATGAGCAGTTTCAGAGCTGAGGTGTGATCATGATAATACCTGCCTAATTAAATGATTAATTATGCAGACATATGCCACTATTTTTAATCATTTATTTTATTTATTTATTTGGTACAGGGTCTTGCTATGGAGCTCATGCTCATAATAATCCTCCTGTCTCAGCCTAACCACTGCTGGGATTGCAGGCTTGTACCACCATGCCTGGTCTTGGTGACCAACAAGGCATGCAGTGCCAGGGATCAAACCCAGGTCCCTGTGCTTGTCACACAGGTGTTTACACTGCTCAGCTACCTCCCCAGCCCTTATGCAACTTTTTTATTTTTTTATTTTTTATTTATATTTTTTCAAAGGGACTTTTTTTGGTCTTAGTTTTACTATTTTCTTTTTTGGTACCGGGAATCGAACTCGGGGCCTCGCGCTTGCTAAGCAGACGCTGCGCCACCGAGCCACATCCTCGGCCCTACTTTTTTATTTTATGAAAAAATAATTTGTGACATAATAAGATAATAGCAATAGTTAGTGTATGGTGTATCATTTTACCTTCAAAGTAGTTACTCAAAATATAAGACGTAAACCAACAAGATTCTTACAAAAAAGAAACAAGCATATAATAACGCAGAATTTTCTTTTCAATGAATTAAGATAAACTAGTAATAATAAATGAAACAAATTAGCATATATATGAAAATATTTTTGAAACTATGAAAGGAGTATAAGATTAAAAATTATAGGGAAAACTATAAAAATACAAAATACTGTTCTGGTTAATGCAGCTTCAGTTCTGATTCATAATTTCTCTCCTTCCTTTGTCACAGTAGGCAAGTTAGATAGGTTTTCAGAAGTTTTCTCCTTTGATCTTGAGTGCCCCCTGGGCATTTATGTGTTACTGTTTCTTGGCCACATATTCTTGGTACTTTCTTCTACTCATTGA